AAAAAAAAACATTTTTACAAAATTTATTTTCAAAAAATCTACATCAAATATGCTATATTTATGTAAAATCGAAAATATTTGAAAGTTTTTGAACTTCGAAAGTTAGAGGTAGTAACCATGTAGTTGGAGGAGTATTTATTTAATTTGGTTTTATACTCATTCTCTCCGCGTGAGTCATGCCTTGTTTTAAAAATCTAGTCGTGTATAAATAATTAGAGATTCGTTATCCTCTTCCTTCTCTTGCACCGAAAGAAACCCCAATTTCAGACTTAGGGTTTACGGCTTCAGGTACGCCCTACTCTTCTCCCTCTCTCTCTCTCTCTGCTTGATGAGTGTGGATGTGGATGTGGATGTGGATGTGGATGATTATATCTTCATATTATTTCGTTGAAATTTTCGATCAGATCTCTCATTTTTCAATGCTTATTCTTCCTTGAGATTTTCATTTCTTAGTTCTTGCGTAGAGAGTCTAGAAGTTTGCGCATTTTATTTTTTAATTAAGAACCAGTTTGATTACTTTTGAAAAGCCACTGAGTTGATAACTGGAGGTGGGTTGGCTCATTTTTGCCTGTATTTTCTTTTCTGATTGCTCATATTTCTTTGGTCGTAACATATTTATTTTACCGGTATCTGTTAAATCCGTAAGTTAAAAGTCCTGATTTTGCTTAGGAACTGGTAGGGATTATGAAAATTGATTTTTTGACCGAGAAAAATGGATTCCACCAGTTAGTGAATAAGTAAAAAATATGCCTGGAATAGTGAAATAATGGTTAAAAAAAAAAAAATTTTATTTTTTGGTTTGAAAAATTGCTACCAAATGGGAGCTTAGGAATTTAATTAAATGGGCTTATTTGCACTACTATGTATTTAAGAGTAAGAATCATGTTAATTGTTGGTGGAAGACCTTTTTTCATTAACCAGTTATGCTTAGTCAAATTTTCTGGAGTTCAGATAGGTACTTAATTCACGGAATGTATTATTATATATTCATGTACTCTTTGGTAATGGAGAAATTTATTTTACACTGATGTGCACATAATATTTATTTAGCTGGCTAGTTGATTGATTACACAGGGCTTTTTGGAAGGTCTGTAATGAAATGAGAATGCTTTCGAGTCTATTGTAGGGAAATTTAAGATGCCTCGTTATGATGATCGCCATGGTAATTCAACACGACTCTATGTTGGGCATTTGTCATCGAGGACACGATCACGTGATCTAGAGGACGTCTTTAGCAGATACGGAAGGTCATTCCTTTTCCACTGGCTAATATTTAAGAAATATAACCGTGGTAGAGATCTTTATTTTTTTTAACAACTGAGAATACTTTGTGTTACCTATATGTTTCTCTGCTATCTTGATTTCTGTACAATTCTTCGCCCCATTTACGATATGTAGTTGGCAGTGGTCATTTCTGTGATGAGTCTGCATGAAGGCGTCCCTCGGGGAACAAGAACCATTGGAAAGACCTTTTGGTCCATCATCGATTTACCTTTTCTATTTAAAATGAAGTATTTTGAGAGAAATTGGCCCATGTTTTGGTGATTTTAACTTGAATAATGTTTCTGAAGGTTTCTGGGTTTGTTGCCCAACCTGGAGGTCTATGGTGAGAGGTGTACCCCTTGGTGGATTTGGTCAATATTCGTGCAGTATTTTAGGGGCTTTGGCAATTCTTATGATAGTGTTATTGCGTGTTTTTTTGATGGGAATTCCAACAACCAAAGTGGTGTTTAATTCATCTTTGAGGGAAAAGTATGAAGCCGTTAGTTCTAATGTCTTGATGCCCTTGTTGTTTCTGGCCACCATTTACGCAGAGTACGTGATGTGGATATGAAGCGTGACTATGCATTTGTGGTATGCAGTTATGTTCTTATTGTTTTACACAATACAAATCTGTCCTCATGCATATGTACTCTGTGAATATTATCTTCTTTTCCACTTTCCTTTTGCACTTCTCACACAGGACTTTAGTGATCCTCGAGATGCTGATGATGCGAGATATGCGTTAGATGGACGGGATGTTGATGGGAGTCGTATTATAGTTGAATTTGCAAAGGGGGTAAGCTGCATTGGAGTTGTTCATTCACTGTTCTGGATTTTTTTTTATGAAGTTTGTTGAATTTACAGACTTTTATCGTTATGAACGTAATCACTGCAAACGTTATGGATACAATTTGTTTTCATATTTGCAATTTGCATGGTGCAATTTACGATAGAAAACCTCACACAAGAAACGTGTGAAGCAGTTCATTGCGAATTACTCATATAGTTTCCTGACCACTCATTAAGCCCTCTATAATTCAAAAATGACGCTTAAAAATCCTTTCAAATACTTCCTAGGAGTTGCCTCGTTTTTCACAATCACTAGGCATGTTATCTGATGTTCCAAAAACGGAAGGGAGTCTGCTTACTCTTTCAGAATTATGGGGTTTACATGAGTTGATGCTGAGTTCTGGAAAGATCCGGAAGGCATTTTATCGCATGTTCATTTAATATGTTTTTGGAGTAGTGGTAGTATGTTATCTGAAGTTGTTTCTGGGATCATTATATTCTAGGCCGATTTGCCTTGGTCGAATGCAAATCAATACAAATATTAAAAAAAAATGCAGTACTAATAATTTTTGTTAACTTCTAGCTTTCCGTACTTTGGATTCTTATTTATGAACCTGTGAAAATATTTATGAAAATATTAAATGGTGTTTTCTTCTTCTTTTTTTTACACGATCCTTTATTTTGGTACCTGTCTTTTGACTTGATGGTTGTGGGCTTATGATGTATTATTAAAATAGGTTTAACTTGCAATTTAGGTACCACGTGGTCCAGGTGGGTCACGGGAATATCTTGGAAGAGGTCCTGCACCAGGAACAGGACGCTGCTTCAATTGTGGAATTGAGGGACACTGGGCTCGAGATTGCAAGGCTGGAGATTGGAAGAACAAATGTTATCACTGTGGGGAGCGAGGTCATATAGAAAAGAATTGTCCAAACAGTCCCAAGAAAGTTAGGTATGTAAATTGGGCTTTTTGTTCCTCACTACTTTTCCAGCTTTCATGGATTTGAAAAAATTTAATATTCTTCAGTGAGTTAAAATGTTTCTTGCAACAGACATGGACGGAGTTACTCCCGCTCACCATCTCCTCGACGCGGTAGAAGTCGGAGCCGGAGCCGGAGCCGTGGTTATAGTAGGAGTCCTAGTCGCAGGTTCCACCCAACCTCTACACTCACTTCTCTGCACATGAAATTTTTCTTTATACTTATGTTCTTTTGAAATCCACATTCTATTATTCTCTGAGCCCCACACTTCACAACAGGTAATGTTGCATGGTTGCTATTATTTTGAGGAGTTATCTTATTATTTTGTCCTCGCAACAATGCTGGAAGTTTGTAGTGGTGGAGATTTGAGGATATGTGCTTATCTGGAACTGATCTTGTGGTTTGATTTTCATGTCTAACATTTTAATATTTCTAATCATGGGATTTATTTCTTTATCACTTCAACTTTTCCTTATGGGACTTGCTCCTTATTGAGTTTTGTTGATTGGCTGACTGGTGACAGACTTGTCCTTCACGCATCACTGACGTGAGAAATCCCATTTTGTAAATTCTAGAGTATGAAGTTAGGGAAATTATTTACTATTAGAAAAATTGTTCTGCATTTATAATGTGCACTCGCTACATTCATATTTTTATATTGTTGGCTAGTAATACAATACAACAAAAAGCCACTCCTCAAATTCAGGAGATTTTATAACAAAAATTCAAAATCAATGATAAAATAGTGATAGTTTTTTGACAATTGAAGTATTAAAAATAAATATACAATATATAGCTGTATAATATTTTTCTCAAAAATCAATGTGGTCTTGTCTGTACTTTGTAGCGCTGATGGAATTCAAATGTTTAGCAGAAAGCGGAGTTAGTCTCAAGTGAGCTTGTATTATCAGGCTAACAAGGATGAATTTATAAGCGTGTTCTGCTCTTGCAGAAATAGTGCAAAATGTGCCCATTTAAAGTGTTTTAACATGTGCAGATATTTGTTTTATGGTTTGTGCTTAGCTGTGTATACAAAATGACACTGTTTGTCATAATTCTTTGCAGCCGATCCAGATCACCACCCCCAAAGAGGGATCGCGGTATTGAACGTGGGGAGGGAGGGTCAAGGAGGCGGCATAAGACCTCACCATCTCCATCCAAGGGAAGGGCCCACAGCCCAAAAGCTGAGCAAAGCCCTAGAAAGAGGGGTACGCCATCGCCAAGAGATGGTAAGGCTGCCAATGGATCAGACTATAGCAGGAGTCCAAATAGAAGGAACAGGAGCCCCGAGGATGATGATGTTGAGGAGAGGAGTCCCATTGAAGAAAATGGTCGCAATCGCAGCTTTAGCCCTAGGGACAGTGGAAGCCCTGTTGATGATGATGAAAATCATGGATCTCCGAGGGGCAGTGAATAGTTTGAGATTAACCAAGTATGTCTGAATTCACTATCGTCTGAACTTGTGGTATAATTTGTTGAGTGGTTTATTTGATCTAGGGACTATATTTGCTCGGGATATGTGAAACCTTTGTATGTGGATTTATCGTATTTTGCAGTTTGTACCATAACTAATTGGATTATCTTCTTTCTTTGGAGAAACTATTCTAGATTGCTAAAGACTTGCTTCGTGAAATTATTTTGTTATCATTCCGTGACCAAGTGACATTCTTGCTGATTACAGATTGCAGACGAAGGGTAATGATTTCTTTTCCAAGTTTCTATTTCTTAATAGGTGCTTGCTGGGTAGTATATCCAGATTTTTTATAATTGCTTCTCATGGTCTGTTTTTTTCTCCATTTCTGGATTGTTATTGGTTGGGTTTTGCTATTTGTACACCGAAGAATGAAGGGTTTAGCAGCACCTTGTCTTGTTGGCTTTGCAAATTAGTTCCGTCACATAAAGAAGTCAATCGCATCTGGCCGTTTTATCACCTCACAATTTTGTGGGGGTGGTCTTGTGCCGAATAAAAAAATTGCGGGCTCCCATTGTGAGAGGGCCTGTATACTGGTGTACACATAGCCAAACTCCTTATTGGTCAGGGTGTTCATTATTATTCAGTCATACCCAATATTATGATGAATAGACTCGTACTTTTCCCTGCTGATCATTGCCAACATTTCCTTTGAAAGCTTGCTCGCTCTCGTCCCCGACGATCAGAAAGTAAGTGTTGCCAAATTTCTCATCTAGGCCCTGGTTTTTCTCAGTGGCACGGCTTCTCATCGTGCCTTCGAATGCATAGCAATTGATGTTTGTATTACAATAATCTCCTATTTGACGATCACTATTTGGTAAAAAACAATGTTTTGAGTAGTTATTTTTAGGAGAATGTTTGGGTAAAAAAGATGGGAAATGTTTTGGTTTTACATACAGAATATTTTATCATGTGAATATATAATTGAAAATGAAAATATAGAATATTATTATTTTTATTATTTTTTCTTCCCAAATAATGGTCGTGAAAGGGGTTGAACACAATGAAGATGAAGAAAAGTAGTAGTCTTTATATTTACATTTACATTTACATTGATTTGTACGTCAATGGATTAATATCAAATCTTGATGTGCAGATGGGTAATGGGTGACATGATAATCATTTTCTAAGATAAAACAAACTACGTATGGATGGATGAGAGATGCTAATCAAATAGGGGCACTAACAGGGATTTAAACAGTCACTTCAACCCGTGACTTGAATTGGTTGTCCTCGTGGAAAACGCCACCTCCACGAATAAGATTGTGTCGTGGATGGCTATGGCACCACCATTACCTTGCAGAAAATAATTCAGAAAAAATAAATTTTGTTTCGTGGACGGCTGGGTCACCGCCATTGCCTTATATAAATTAATAAAGTAGTTAAAAAAAAAAAACTATACCTGTGGATTCGACCTTATCAGCCTTCTACAATTTGTTTGCAAGAACAAAATCTTGCACATAGTTGTTTCGAGAATCTTAAACCTTTTTTTCCGATATGATTCTTGCAAGCGAATGGTGGTAAAAGGGTGATGAGCTACTTATTAAAAATTTAGATTTTAATTTAACCATCAATTTTAATCACATATTTCATCAATTTTTATTAAAAATTTATTTTTAATTTCTATCAAACAAGGGTAATATATATTTATATATTTTGTTTTCGAAAATATGCCAATAAAAAGTAATTTGCTTGTTTGTAAACAGAGTTAACTATAGGTAATTTTTTCTTTTCAAACCATGATCTAAAGGCCTGTTTGGGAGCGATTTTTTCATCTAAAAAATTGATTTTTTGACCGTTATTTCATTATTTTAGCCGTTATATTTGACTTCTTTTTCCACAGGTGGACCCTACTTTTCTCCTAGCGGTCAAAAAATCAATTATCAAAATCACTCTCAAACATGCTCTAAATTTAACTGAACTTGCTACTTGTCTAGAAAATTGAACCAAAAAAATAAAGATAAAAGAATTAAAAATTATAGGATAAAATGTTTGAATAAAGAAAAAGGTCAATTAAAATATTTAGATGTTAGATTCGTAATATATCTCCAGAGGAAGGGCAAACGTCTAAATCCCTTTCCAGGCAACCAAAATAACAAATCAACCGCGAACCTGAAACATGATCCCCTCTCAAATCTCACCAAAACAATAAAGAGCGTGTGTGTGTATATATATGTAGAGAGAGAGGGGGGGACGGGAGAGGGAAAGAGAGTGGCGCAAAACTGAGTGCATCGCATTCAAGATTCTGATCGAAACTAGATCACCTTTAGTATATCGGGTAATTTTCTATATTTTTAACGATTATACGCGCGAGCAGCGTACTTGATTGCGTTTTTTTTATTCTGTTTCTTTTTTCCCTCAAGTTTAATTGATGTGTACGCAGAAGTAGGGCCGGATGATGTGTTATGCTAATTTCCCGCTTTTTAATGTTTTGGCCGTTTCTGTTTACTTTCTTGAAATGCAGCTTTCGGAATTGGCATCAATATTTGATGGGGTCTTGTGTATATCACAATGTGAGTTTTAAACTTGCAATGTCAAATGATCATTTTAGTGAAAAGTCTGAATTTTGTAGTTAAAGGCTAAAACGATCTGCATTATAATATCAAGATCTTTTAGAGGTGCATTTCAGAAGGAGTGTGGGAGAAATTGAAATCTATTTGCATTGATTAAAGGGAAAAAAGGTATACAAAGTGGAGGAAAGAAGAAAGGCCATGGAAGATGTGTCAAAATATGCACACAGTCCTGCACATTTGGCAGTCTTGCAGCGTGACCATGTTGTTCTGAAAGGGATTGTTGCTTCCCTTCCTCGACTGGCCAAGGCAGGAGAGGTGAATACAGAGACTGAGTCTTTGGCTGCTGAAAAGGATGCTGATGCTGTATGTGCAGTAATTGATAGGCGGGATGTACCAGGCAGGGAAACCCCTTTGCACCTTGCGGTGAGGCTTAATGATGCAACTTCTGCAGAGATTTTAATGTCAGCAGGTGCTGATTGGAGTCTTCAGAATGAAAATGGATGGAGTGCACTTCAGGAAGCAGTGTGTGCTAGGGAGGAGAATATTGCTATGATCATTGCAAGACACTACCAGCCTCTTGCCTGGGCCAAATGGTGCCGTAGACTTCCTAGGATTGTGGCCTCTGCAGCTCGGATTCGTGACTTTTACATGGAGATATCCTTCCATTTTGAGAGCTCAGTGATACCATTTATTGGTAGGATTGCTCCCTCAGACACTTACAGGATATGGAAACGCGGTTCTAATCTCCGTGCAGATATGACTCTTGCTGGGTTTGATGGTTTCCATATCCAACGGTCTGATCAAACTTTTCTCTTCTTTGGAGAGGGCTATTTTTGGGAAGGTGGAAATAGATCTTTGCCTCCTGGTTCTTTGATAGTTCTCTCCCATAAGAAGAAAGAAATCACAAATGCTTTTGAGGGAGCTGGAGTTCAACCATCAGAAGCTGCAGTTGCCCGTGAAGTGGCTTGCATGTCTCGAACTAATATGTACAGGCCAGGAATTGATGTTACTCAAGCTGAGTTTGTTCCACATTTGAATTGGAGACGACAGGAGAGGACTGAGTCAGTTGGAGCTTGGAAGGCCAAGGTTTATGATATGCTTCACGTGTCATTGAGCGTGAAGTCAAGGCGAGTTCCTGGTGCTATGACTGATGAGGAGCTTTTTGCGGTGAATGATGATGATAGAATAGCAAATGGTGTTGGACATGATGAATATAGTGATGTTTTAACTGCTGAGGAAAGAATGCAGTTAGATTCTGCTTTTCACAAGGGGAACTCCGATGGTCTGGAGAATGATGAGGAATCTGATTTTCAGGATAGACGTGAAAATTATAATGGGCATTCATTTGAATCTTGTGAATCAAATGTTGCTATGAAAGAAGAGAAAAGTTGGTTCGGTTGGAGCAAGAAAGGTTTGAAAAATACAGGAGATGATCCTGATGATTTAAAGATTCGGAAAAAATTCTTGACGTTGGCACCAGATGATAGAAAGCAGTGGCTCAATGAAAGTAGCCTATCATCGTCTGAATTTCTCAGGGAAGATATTGGGAACTTTAAAAAATCCAACGACAAACGCAGCAAGAAGAAAAAGAAGAAAGGGGCCCCTAGTGGGTCAAAGAATGAGAGCGAGTATAAGAAAGGTCTAAGACCAGTTTTGTGGTTGACACCAGATTTTCCTTTGAAAACAGACGAACTCTTGCCTTTACTTGATATACTGGCTAACAAGGTAAAAGCTGTTAGGAGACTAAGAGAGGTTTTGACTACTAAATTTCCTCCTGGCACCTTTCCGGTCAAGGTACTTACCGGTCATGTCCCTTATTGCTCTTGATGATGTTCCTGTCTTTTTTTTTTGATTGGTTCATTGTCAGTTGCACCTTTTTTCTGTTTTTGTTATCTATTTTCTTTCCTACCCGCAGTGTCTCCCATCTTTGTTGCTTCTAATGTGCTGTTCTTGTAATATTTGCAGTTTGGCTTGTGCTTATAATTTTCTACAAGTGTTAGCTGTTCATCATCTCATGAAATTAATTCAGCTAATCTGTAATTCTCCGTGCACAGAGTTTTCCCCTTGTTCTTGGCTAAGAGAGCAATGTGTCATTTACAGTAACCATCCCCAAGCATTAAGTACACATTTTCCAAGAAGCAAAAACCAGATATTTCACTGATAAAGTAACATATGCAGTCTCTGATATCATTTTTCTTCATAACGTAAAAATTAAAAATGCACTCATTTATTTTCTTTTTTCCTTACCTTCAAGTTCATGTAGCACAATTATAGAGTATGAGTATCTTAAAATTAGTTTACTTAACCCTGTTTGGTGGAGATTAAAATCAGGTTTTAGTGGATTTTTGATAAAATCAGGATGTTGAATATTCTTATGGAAGTTGAAAAGCACCAAAAAATTCCCTCTTCTTTTGGAGTTAACAGTCCAGCCCTACTTGTATTGGGTTCGGATGTAATTTTTCACTGTGATTGAAACTTGATTGTATATATTTTCATGTGGTATATGTCTAGTCTGGGGATTTTGCCCTTTTTCTTTCTATTTCAATGAAATTTGATTGATTGGAGCAAAATCCTAATTGCATGTGCCAACCAGACTTTAAGACAACATCAAATCTTATTTAAGCAACAGTATCCAGCCTAACAGATATTTTTTATTTATTATCTTTGTCTGTACGTTTATAAAGGTGGATTCCATCATTGATAAATATAAGGCTCTTACATCTACTAAAGTTACTCTTACTTTACATATCTTCATGCATTCGTTGATTTTTGTTTGCTCATAAATCAATTTGTTAGTGCCATATTATAGTAAATAAAACTCCAACGCGTTATTGTATTGTTTGCAACAAGACATATATTCCTAACATATCTTCGCCGCTGTCTTCAGGCCTCTTCTGTACAATTACCTTTATCAGAATATATAGAGTATCTTTAATTATATTTATCTCCTATTAAGCAAGCAAAGGTTTACTGTTGAAAGTCAAATTTGCTTCATGCACTGAAAGCATGAACCAAATAATCACTACTTCAGGAGGTGTAGACCGATTCAGTAATAGATCTTGCCCGGTCACAAGAAAACGTGGATTACACATAGATTTAACCGTTCTTTCCTTTTGTCTATGTTGGGAGTTTCTTGAGAATTAAATTTTGATTTTTCTGTTATTTTTCTCCACATCATCCATAATTTGTTAGTAATCATTACAGTATGTGCCAATGTCCAAATCTTCAAAGAGTTCTTTTATCTCCATTTACTCACTCCTTACATTGGACATGTATGAAAAAATAGTGATTAGAGAAGATTCATCTCGTTGATTATCCTAGTTAAGATTATTTAGCATTTCAAATATGAGTTGACATTATATTGGTTAAAACTGCCAATAGATTCAATTGCTGGTGATGTACATCTCACGTAATTTTGAGCACGAATTTTATCCTTTTGTTCCATAACTTGATGCCTTAACAGTTCAAAATAATCACCTCTTTTTCTAATGCATTTGAAAACATTGACATAGCCTGCTCAAAGTACTTATTGCTATCTTGGATCTTTGGGTACTATTGTGACTGATAAATATGTATTCCGCAGATTGCCATCCCAATTGTCCCAACCATTCGGGTCCTAGCGACATTTACAAAGTTTGAGGAGCTTCAGCCAATGGAGGAGTTTTCGACCCCTCTCTCCAGTCCCGTACATTTCCAAGATGCCAAATCTAAGGACTTTGAAGGTTCCACATCATGGATTTCATGGATGAAGGGAAGCCGTGGGGAACAATTAAGTGAAAATCGCAGTTTCAGAGATGATATTGACCCTTTTTACATACCATCTGACTATGCATGGGTTGATGCAAATGAGAAAAAACGTAGGATGAAAGCGAAGAGAGCAAAAGACAAGAAACATAAAAAGCCTGTTGCTGCGAAAAATCCCGGTTATGCTCGGCAGTTTAATGAAGATATCAAGGATTAGTGGCAGTGAAAGATAAACAATTGCAAAAGATTAGAGGCTGCAACATCAGAATGCGAAGAATGATGTAAAACTAGTCTTTGAATGTCTGGCTTCTTTAACTCTTTTCTTCCTTAGATTTAAATTCTTTACCCTATAGGGCTTCAGTTTGTATAGAGCAACTTGAATGTTAAATCAAAATTTCGATCAGTTTTGAGCTCCGACTCCTCTCAGATTTCTCTTTGTTCCTCTCTTCTCTTTCACTCTCTTCTGTTTCTCCTGGAAGGTTTGAATGTTTTGGAGGATTCAGTGGTATATCGTGATATAATGATCGTCATCTTCAGTTGAGTATTGTTACTGATCTGGAAAATTGGAAATCAATATCCTGTTGTTGGAAGACTTCTTCAAATGTGTCCATGCTTATTTTTTTCCTTTAATGGAATTGTTTGCAGAACTAACAGTTCCTTTACGGTTTACGAAGAATTTTATCTAATGGGAGGGGAAAGCTAATGCTCTTGAAAGGTTTAGACTGTTTTAAGTTCACGTTACACAATTTTGAAGAATGGAAGTCGCAATCTTGTTAACATAACTGTGTTAAGGCAACCTACATAAGCTATGAATTAATGGTGAGGGAGTATTGTGCACGTAGACAACGGTAATCAATCTCAGGGAAAAAAAATTTCTATACTCCTGAAACACTGTACTCAATGAAAATGTTTATTATTTTTCACTTATTTTCCACGAGTAGGATGACCAGGCGTGCTCTTAACCAGCTAGTTTGACCAAGAATTTCATTTCAACATTATTCTACTTACTCCACAATGATATTTTTCCATTTAAAAGCTTCTCTACTAAGAACTTTTGTCATGCCTTGTCTGAAGATAGAACAGGCAATGGTAAACCTTACTGTCACCTATGTAAGTAGTTCTAAGCTAGTATTTAATCGGCTTTAAACAAGTCAATTTTTGCCCCATTTGAATCTATCTACATACCGAAAATAAGTTTGAAAAATGTTCCATGAGATTTATGAATCCTCCCAATTTCGGTAGTGCACTTAGGAGTGACTCGAAATGGCTAGAGCCGGCATTTAGACAACTCGTGTAATGTATAGTCCGGCTTTCCGTGCGATATCTCCTTGCTAAAGGCCTATCTCTCATTTTGAAGGCGGGTTGAATGGAAGTCAGCACCACCCGCAGGTTCAGGAGAAAGCGAAGTTCTAAAGAAAAGAAAGAATCGAAGTTGTTGTAAGTTCAAAGGTCTTTTCGAACGGGGTGAATGAAGGAAAAATCTTTGATTGAGTGAATTCGCTTCACTTCCACTCACTTAAACTGGTCTAACGCCCATCTTTTCCGATCTCTTAGCCTAGCCTACCAGATCAATGGACTTAGCCGATCCGAGCCATCAAAGACCAAACTGTATAACCTGGATCCGAGCAGTGAACTGTCCTGCTAGCCTTACCCTGCAGTGAAGTTTCTTCCTTCCCTGACTTGCTTGAAAAAAAGCATTTCTTTTCCTTCGCTCGTAGGGGAAATACTTAACACTGGAATCCGGTCTGTCTATCTTACATTGGTTCTTCCATCTCGTTCATACCCAAAAAGCTTCAATTCACAACCTAGGATATATGCATCTTTCTCCACCATAGAAAATTTAGCTTCAGCATTGAATATTTTGTGCATGGCTAATGAAAGCAGTATAGGCTTCATCAATTTCCTCATCATTTTCAACTTTCTTTAAACGAGCCTGGAGTATAGTTGGTAAACTTAGTGCATATTCAGATGCTGATTGGGCTGGATGTCCCGATGACTTACGCGGCACTAGTGGGTACAGTGATGCTACCTTCGCTTCTTTATGAGATTACTTTGTTGAACCGATCTACATCTACGGAACCAACTTCAACTGTACCAACCCGGATAGTTTAGCTGGTGTATTCGGCGGCTCCCTATTCAGCGCTATGCATGGTTCCTTGGTAACCGGGCTCAAGGCTAGATAGAAGATAGGCTATTCCTCTTACCGTACTTCCCGAGGGGAGGTTGAAAAAGGCTGTTACAGAAGAAGCTGCAGTCCTTAGGCTAGACGATCATGCAAGTAGAGGATCGGGGAATAGCCTTCCGGGAAAGCAAGAAAGATTCCGGATAGATGGAATTCATGGTTCGAATTGGCTCAAGCCTGCAATAAGAAGATTCATCTGCTTAACACATGCATATCGGACAAACACGACTGTCGGGTTATTGCGGCGCGAGCTTAGCATGTTCTAGCTTCTCTATTGTCTTGTTGATCAACCAAGCTAGCTTCGTTCCAGCTCTCGATCCAGAGCTACTGCTTCAACAATCAACTGAGCTCAGGAAGTCAGGTTAAGACGTCGACTTATACAGGAGAGATGAAAAAGAATTCCTGTCTTTAGAAGTCAATCCCACTAAACTACACTTGTACGCTTGATCCCTCCCCTACGACACCAAAAAAACCAGGCCGAGCTTCTAACCGCCCGCTTCCATAGAACAATATCGTGGCAACGTAGACCTTCGTCCAGCGGAGCCTAGAAGAAGGTGACTCGCGCAGACAGCTGACTCCTTTTCAATAGAAAAGAATAGCCAAACCAACCCAGCTGTTCAGCCGATCTCTCTCCGGTGCGTGACAGCGCGTGGTCCCGCGTCCTGCTTGTCTGACGTCAGTTTCATTAATTGTTGCATGAAATTCGATCTACTTTTATCAAACATAAAATAAGAAAGTGACTCTTTGTCGGAGATGCATTCTTTTCTATTGGGTTATTCACTGATCTGAAACTTAGCACTTGTTTTCTTATTGATTCCAAGGGCGGCGGCATTCTTGAATGAAGTCTATCCGAACCGAATTAGCGCGGACTCGGGAGCAATTTCATATTCATGTGTTCAAGAAGCAGTCTTTTAGGCCCAGGTCGCTTGCTTGGAATCTCAGTCAAGCATATTCGCAATCCTTGGGTTCGGCTTCCTTCTCCCCCACCTTTTAGCGTTCTGGGCCCCTGAAAAAATCAAGAAAGCGCGGGATGGGAAAGCTCAAAGACTTTCTGGACTTATACTACTGTGCATACAATAATATGTACTTGTTCCTGTTAGTAAGAGAAAGCTACTTCCTATCGCTCGGGCCCCATCCTCCGAGCAGCCAATGTGAACATGAACCAATAATATGTGTGGAAATGATGAACATTCATAATTTTTACCATAATTCCAAGAAATCCAACAGAAACTATAATCAAATGTCTAGCCATATAAATCATTCAGACATTTTCCCAGCCCCTATTGGAAACTCGGGGAGAAAATCGGTCACACTCTCCAAATGAAAACCAAGCCAGAATTTACTCCCTCAATTTCTCAATCTCCCGTGAGTATGATCGGTGTTGGGAGTGCAGGGCAGGGAACTACAAACATGTTCAGGCTCGAAAGTGAATCAGTTTAAAATAATTTCCTGATCCCAAAGCTCAACACCGTAAGAGCTAGGCATTACCATTTTCTCCACTTTGAAGACCAGCACATTAGCAATTAAAAATTCTAAAACTCAGTGTCAATTCATTCTCTCTCGAACATTAATTTTAGAATTGAAACATAAGTTTCTTCTTTGGTTAGCTGGTCAATTAGATCACAGCAGAAAGAAAATTCAAATGTACCAGTCTATAAGGCTTGACAGTGGCAAAATGTTTTTTTAATTTCATAAATCAAGCAATAGACATACCAATACTCAAGACTAGGCTCAGATGACTTATCCTCTTCTGACAATATGAAGTAAACAAAATCTTCATATCCCATCTTTCCTTCAATCTTACTGGTAAACTTTCTGGGAATCTAAGTCAAATATGAAAGATTTTACATTAAAAGCGGTGGAGGAAGCATTAAATAACAAATAGATCATTTTTCTTGATAGGAGTAGGGAATTTGGCTTTTCTAAAAAATAATTACATAAGACAAACCTGAGAGAATATTCTATCAACAATCCTGTAGGTGAGTGCATGATTACCATATCTAATGAGGTTCTCTTTATCGATTAGAAAATCATGATCTGTATCCAGCTCCCAAAACTTACAATATATCACATAAAAATGTTCATAAGAGAAGTACCTGCAACAAAAGGGAGAATGGAATCAGAAGACGATGGGGATCAATATGGATCTATGTTAATATGAAATAAGAATGCAACATATAAATGTAATACTCCAAGATAAATTAACGTATCTCGGTATGTCCATTTATTTAGTTTAATCGAAACCATGCATAAGGTTACTATGCCGTATTTTTTTTATCTTTGAGTAAAACAAGAAATTTAATTCTATATGTGAACTAGTCAAACAAGACTTTTTCCACTTTTTAAAAAGCAATCCTATGACATTCTACTGACAGTCTTATCACCATGTAGGAACTCCAAGCTACGGTAGAATTCATTATCCCTTGTGAAAATAAACAAGCATTCCCTAGAGACCAGTAATGAGCTGCTCTATTTACCGCAAGACTTTGTTGATATCCTCTTCTTCATCAGCATGTTGCATTGCAGCTATTAAGTTTGAACGTCTTAGCTCCCTGAGGGTAAGCCGACCATTGCCCGATCTATTCACATAGTAAAATATTCTGTATATCACAGTTTCAGCTGGCCAACACAATAAATTGTAACTGTTAATTTCAACAAAGGAATGTAAGGATTCTTAACTCGCACAATGTTGGTACTAAACTCAAACAGTAATGGGCAAACGAAGTCAGAAAAATATTCATGCTGGCAGTCAACCAACTCAACATGTGCCTCCTGACAATAAAATCTTTTAACATTTAAAATGGGAAAGAAAGATGTGAAAACAGGTCTCGGATATCCTAATTTTTTGTATTCTTTTATGAAATTCTTACACTGAATGAACACAATCTTACACGTCTCAGATACATATCAAAATGCCACGAGGTGTCTCATATTTTTATGAAAAAATAATTTTTGGCAAACAAGAGATTGACCCTTGCAAAGAGGTGAACAGTAATTTTTTGGGTTGTTAAAGACTTGAACAATGAAAATAAATGGTGAGTGTCTGGTCAAATTGATCGCGTCATATCTTTCAAGTCTACTGGTGTGAATTCCTTCTTTTCATCGCCTATCCGAAAGAGAATTCAGTGTTTCTTGGTTGAGAATGTTTGAACTCTTTGCTTACCAAAAATTCTTGTTTGAGTAGTTCGTGCCATATTGACATCAAATATTTTAACCCTTATGTAATTCAAGGTGATTCATAGTTTGCATCACATCATTAAATATGTCTAATTCCATTATAATATTTTATATAATATAGACTGGATTGTCTACAGACTACAATGATGGATAAATGGGGAAAACAGCTAACTGCTAAACAAATGCAAGACAGTCGACCTATGCCCAGGCATTATTCATTTTTCAATTCATCCCTAGCCTCATAAAAGAATTGTTTTTGTTCCAATATGTAGGAATCAATGGGAACGGCCAACGTAGGAGGATGCAGTCAATATTACCAAAAGCACACCTGTAACCTAGTCAAATCGAGAGGTTTTCTAAATCCACCAGTCAGATGCACACGCAAACATGCAAGTTATTTAGAATTGTATGATTTTTTTTAAATTTGTAGGAAGGAAGTTGACAAAGAAAATTTTTTAACTATGAGTTCCATTGTAGGTTTCAAACCTAATGACTAGATGATGAAACTAAGGGGGGTAACTAGTAAGTTAGGGCTTTTTGAGTTGCTAAGAGGATCGTCTTGCCTTAATGAGTAACTAAAATTCAAGTTGGGTTATATAAATAATAATGACTTGGCATGTTGGATAGGCTTAAATACAAGTAAAAGTTACTTTCAAGTAACATTTTGTTTTCAAACATGCTTAGATGACTTCCTTTTAATTAAAAGAAGTAAAAATTTACTAATTTGAAAGTATCATTTATTTTAAAACTTATTTTGTTAATTATAAGAAACTTTTTAAGCTTAGCCAAACATACTCATAAGTATAGGAGTAGAATATGTGGAAATGGAAAGTGCTAAGATTATGTGTGATTTAAACATACCTATAAAGTTAAAAGGCAAAGCCTAAAGAATAAATTAGAGCATATGTATTTTCTGGAACTGAGTTTTGATACCCTTCAACATAATGATATTGTTGAGATAACTACAAGAGATTTATTAAATAAGAATAAGGGAGTTAAAAAGTTGAGATTTCTCATAAATGTAACATCTCTAAGCCTAATGGCAGTCTTATATACACTATACATGCGGTTGTATTCTATGTATGTTTGTCTCAAAATATAAATTTTCCAATATTTTCTTTTGCAATAATGGCAATAACAACGAAAAATCAGCCACTTAATATAAACAATTAGCAAAGCAAACAAAATACAAGGATAAACATTGCAAGTAAAGTCGAGTAAATAACATAGAATATACCATATCGTTCTTGAAATTCAGGTGTACTCTGTAAGAACTCCAATCCCGGATGAGTAGCTAAAAGTTCTCGAAGCACAGGTTTGAAGTCGTCCTATTATCAAGTTGATGAGTATTGCGAAAATAAGAAGAGGGATTATAAAAATCATTAAACTAGAAGTTGCATGAAAGAGCATTTTGCTTGTCTTATAACCTGACTCAAGAATTTTAGATCCGGCTGCTTCAAGATTGTGTATATCTGCATTGGTATATCTTTAGTCAACATGTTGCCGTTAATCCAATAATTGACAAATGCATCCCTGTATGTGTAGTTATAGACAAAAGTAAGAGTACATTAATCTAACCTAACCAATATTACTCAAAAGCATTAATAAGGTTGAAAGTAGAAATCATCAGTTCCAATTGAAACTGATACAGTAAAAGCTAGATTTAGCTTCCTTAAATTGGATATAGGATTTGCTAAGCTATTAGATTTAGTCTACTCAATCATGTGATTTTCTACTTAGCTGCTAGTTTATGCAGCTTGAGAAATTTCATGCACTAATATATATTACTATTTTTGCCTCATCATGGCCAAGTATTGACCTACGGGTCAGAGGTGCAGTTAGAACCCAACAAGTACTTGAGGAATCTTGTTCTTAAAAATTATCTGTCATAATTTTGACTTTGGATTTGGGCCTTGGCATAGCATTGAGACTATTTACAGTAGTTTTATGCTTTAAGCCTTTTAATTGCTAGAAAATTGTTTCCAACCTTTTTCCTTTTACTCAGATTATCTCACAATTTTAACATACCTTATGTACATTACATTCAAAACCATGAAAAATTTTCATTTTTCTGAGTCTAAGTTGCAAAGGAAGATTACATCAAATTGCCAAGAGATTAAGAACAGACTCACTTCCAACAAAAATCAATTTCACCTGAAAGACTAAGCAAATATCATCGAACAGATGAATGTTCCCTAGACCTTCCCCAATTATCCAAGAGTCCAAGCTCTAATGAAATAAATAAACAGAAAAAGAAGGTATTATAAGAACCCTTAAGACTTTCCATCTTGTGGACAATAAATTCCTAACCGAAGTCTTTCCCATTCACTTTTCTCTAAGAACTTTACACTAAGTTAAGGGAGACCTATCTGATTGTTTCCCTGCCTTCTCTCTTTTCCATTCTCATCCACATACAGGTCTCAAATTCCCACTCTCAGTGCCTTTGTTGAACTATATAATAATAAAGTTCTAGACAAAAAGAATAAAATTCTATAACTCACACACCTAATATAGCATTCTCCATCAACTTCAAGTACATCAACCACCTCATAATGATAACCTTGGCTCCAGCACATGCAAAATCTAATAATTTACATGATAACAGGACATTGTACTAATACAGAAAGGTGGCCTATTCTACCAGAAAATCAAATACTAATTTTATACAATGCATGCACAATTAAAAGAGATTCTGAGAACACAGAAGCAAACACAGAGAAACAAGATCAACTTACAGCAGAAATATATCTATAATACATGCACTTGCTCAAACTTTTACAGGATAAATGTGTTCTAAAACCTACCATTTCAGAGCACATTATTAAACAAGTCATGCTTGTGAAGTATTTGTAGTTCAAAGAAGGATAACTGAGCCTTTTTGCAAAAAAAAATACTAAATGTTAATGGTTTTACAAGACCGTCAAGGCGGAATCTTGTTACCTGATTCTGACTTCGCTTAAATACAACTATGAAATTAAGAGCCTGTTTAATATAGATTTTTTGAGAATACTTTTTGTGAAAAGTGATATTTCCAAGAATGTGTGGTTAAAATGTAAGGGGAACTATGGGTTCACGTGCAAAACTATTTTTTTGGAAAAATGTATGGTTTAATATGAATTTGGAAAAAAATGAGCTTTAAAAAATCTTTGCCAAACAGGCTATAAATAAACAGCACACAATCCAACATTTTCATATTTAAAGAAGTTGAGCCTGCAGTAATATTCATATTTTTCTTGATTAAATTACCTGTGTAAAGTTGATCTTTTCTCATTTTAGTGCATTTGGGAGAGAAATAAATTAAAAATCATGATGGCATATATTTCGATAAGACAACTCAATAATACGAGGAGAATACACATACCTGGTCACAACTCCAGTGCTATCAGAGTCAATCTTTCTAAAAAGCGCAGTGGAGAAGAACGACGGAACCTTGCAAATTTCCTTAGTAACTGGTTTAAATTCTGATATCCCATGGAAAATAAGTTCAATTAACAAATTGAGATAGTTTATAGAGCTTAAATTTTGCATGTGTCTGTTCTATAATAACTAAAGAATCCTGAATGTATGAATATGTTGTAACTCCCACCATTCATTTGGAGTCCGTCCACGTGACCATGAAAAAATTGATTGATTCTAAACAAGCACCGTTCTTTTAATTCACTTGGCGGAGGACAACCATTTTGAAAATAGAACTGCAATCATTACAGCATTAGCAAACAAAAACTGCAAACCCAGAACCATAGTCCACAGCCATAATGAATATGGAAATCTATGAGAGATCATACAAAAAAATGTCTAACCTGAGGTATAAGCTCTTTTACAGGCTCGTTCACTAATTTCAGGGGAGATCCTAAAGCAGATGGGCCTGCTCTCTGTTTCATTACCCGGGGAGAGCCCGCTGAGCTTCTTGGTGAAAGTGGAGGAGTACTTACAGCAGTAAACATTGATGGCAATGTGTTGCTTGCTGTAGCATTTGTACCAGATGATGTCCCAGAGACATTCAATGGGCCACCTGCCTTAGCATTAATGAGCAAAGATTTTACCTGTAGTTCACAGTTAGGTAGTTGTTAAAGGACGGGTCCAATATCACAAGAAACAACTAGTGAATTGCGGCAATTGCCTTCTACTTGCAAATGTCAATAATATTGAAGATAAATTTCTTTTCAACATATTGGGAAGAAAGGAACATTAACTTAAGACTATCACACTGATGTTAAAAATTGCAATAGAATCGATGTAAGACATCTAAGATGCCACCTGCACCTTTTCAGTATCAGCATATGTCAATAGTGCAAAATTTAGAAGAAAATGTATAAGTTGCATAATACTTTAGAGCCTAATACGAATTGCATCTACAATAACTGGGCATATACATTTCTCAAACTTGTCGAAAAGCAATTTACATAACCAGCAAGCTATTTGAAGAACGTAATAAGTACCGTATCAGCATTAAACACATTAAAGCAGCCCATATATAGCCATCTTGAACGCAACATCAAGATATTCACATGGATTATCTTTAGATATTTAGAAGCCAAGGTTTTAAATCTTCAAAGTATCTTTATCACAGAATTGTGATTTTGAGCCTCACCATACAATGTACTGCTATTACATTCAAATAGGATATCGTACATGTCACCTTAAGCTGCATGGTTAGTTGATGTTGAGCTCTTTTTTGTAGGCGTGATTCGTATGTTAAAAGGGAAGAGAGGGAAGAAACAGAAAAGAAGTAAAATCAAGATACAAGAAGAACGATACTATTTGGCCAGCAAGTCCATCAAACTCTATAATTCATCCAATACAATTTAGTGACATAACCATATTATGAGAACTTAAGCCTCTCTTGCTGCAACCCCATGCAACCTTCCACTCCAACGAATTCCATATCTTTCTTTATTGGCCTATTCGAGCAGGTTATGGCATTCTAATCTTTAATGTAAATGCATGCTTCTCGATCAGCCCGTTCTACCATAGAGCTTACCCTTCTCTAGGACAACCCTGATGTCACCCATTGGCCGTCTATACGCCATCTGTTTATAATTTTCAATGATTTCGCTCATTTTAAATTTGATGGGCTCTAGTAATTCTTTCAACTATAAAGGAAGCAAGGAAGGAAGGAAAGAGGCGCAAATTGCATTTAAACTTTCATTAAAAAAATAGGGCACGTTCCAGGAATATGAAGCCCATCCCAATAGAAGCCCATGAGTGCTAAATGTACTCTATTTAGACTAGCGAGGACACATTACACCATCAGTTTAGATTCTTTCTCATATAATAAATTAGCACATTGCACCATGCTCTGTGGTGAGGTACAGAAATACATGTTCGCCTTGCATTGTGGTCTACTTCTTAGAAGATAGGAATAATGATTACGAAATTAATTATTGCAAGTGCCAAGCTTTCAAATTCTCCTCTTTTGGAGATGTCAGTATATTACCACTTAATGATTAGGTTCTCCAAGCTCTACATGTATCAAGTTTCATTAAGTTGTATTTACCAACAAAACTATACATACAATAATACAGTAACGGTCTATTTAAGGCTAAGTTAAACACCGATAAGCGGAACCAGTGTTCAGGCAATCCTATTATCTCATTCCAATCAAGAAGTAACTTTAACAAATTTCTTATGCCAGGTAGCGAGTACTCCATACAGGCTCAAAGAATCATGCTCTATGAGTGAAAAGTAGTTCTGAAGAGACAAAAAAAATGTGCACGTGGAACCACGTGTAAGAATTTGCTTTAATTGGCAAGTCATTAAATTCTGTAAATCGAATCTTGATCGGAACAACATTGTTACATTTTGCCATTATTGCTGATATAAATTACAGACCCCTTACATTTGTCATCTTAGTATATCCTGCAATGTTTTGTACTCTGCTTGTATCCTATATCTTTCCTTATTGATCTTCTCCAAATCTACTAACCATATTTTTTTCTCCAAATAAGTAATTTCTCCATAATGCAAACAGAAAAGAACACTTTTCTGGTAAACAAAATTCAGAATATATGCTCTCAAGTACCAATACTTGGTTTTGGTTCCGTTTCGCAACTTCTGCAGAATTGACCGCTGTGTCCAAGCAACACTGTGGGTTAAAAATCACCAATCATTTAAATCCATGCTTAGTCCTTTTCGTTATTTATCCTCATCTACAAAACCAATTTACAACCAACACAATGAATAAACAGGCAAAACAAACAAGAAACTCCACTTAAACACACAGATTCACAGCATATGTGTAATAACAACAGTATCGATCATTCTGTCATAGTTGCCATTGCGGTGCATGGGCACCTGAATCCCAAGTCGGAAGTACGTGCTTCCTTTGCATAGGTTGGGTTCCCCAAACTCAATGGCTAGCTTTTGGAGTCTGTCTCTTTCAAGTTCTATGATACATTCATAGGCAATTAATAACTAAATAAAATGACCAAAAATTACCAGAGATACGGTATCAGGGAGCGAAAGCCATTGATCAAAAAGCTTCTCGGCCACGTGAGGGTTAGCTTTAATAGCCAAAGGAGACACATCCGGCAGCTGCAGCATTTCAGCATCAAGACTCGCCACGTCACCATTGAAATCCACGTCCATCTCTCTCAACCCCTTAAACTTGACCAGTCAATATTTTATAAATGTTTGAGAGCTTCTCTAATCATCAAACAGACCCTTCAAATGGCCCAACTCCAATGATTACCTCCAATTTTGAATTTTAATTTTCGTTAATACAGATCTTCAAAGATTTCGAATTGAACGAGCAAAAATGATGATAGAGAAAGGAGATTAATTCATTACAAATTTAACAAACCCTGGATTTCGAATTCCATTTGTAATCTGAGGTCGGTGGAATAAAATTTACAGAGAGATCGAAACCCTTGGAAGCAGAGAAAAGTGTATCTGTATGCGAGCAGAGTGGGTGTGTGAGTATGAGAGAGAAAGGTACGCAGTCTATTCATTATGTAAAAACTAATTCCTACCGCACGTGAGAGGAACGTAACACGTTTTGTCTGCGTGTTTGGCCAGCGACTTTCCCATTTTGTCAAACGTAACACTTAAAAAAGTTAATTAATTAATTTATTTTTTTTAATGAATTTAGGCTTAAGCCAACTTGTTTGATACAGCTAAAAAGTCAATTAAAATCAATTTTTTATTAGTATTTCACTATTACAACCGTTATTTTTGAATTTTTCTCTTACGGGTAGAACCCACTTTATCTCTAACGATCAAAAAATCAATTATCAAAATGCCTATCAAACAAGAACTCAGTTTAGACTTCGTTTTTCAAAAATTCATTTTCAATCATATATTCTCATATAAAATAATATTATATATGAATTTAAATTTTTTTCTTAATTTTTAACCATGCGTTCTCTAAAAAATCACTACTCGAAAGCACTTTTTGTTTTCAAAAAACAAAATAAAATATTTTATTGGAGCCAAAACATGAGCTAAGATTGTTTATCTATAAAATACATTCACGCTCTAAAATACGTACTTAAAAATACATCATGTGTGACGCACGTGCTATTAGATACGCAATTATAAATACATCATATATGATTCACGTGCAAGTTTGGTGCTATTAAACACACCATTACAAGTATATCACATGCAATTTTGGTGGCATGTGTGATTTTGGAGCAATGCAGCTGATTTTGTGTGTGTATCCATTGTGCAATAGTTTTTGTTGTTAACCTATGATCTTTGTTGTCTCTAGCTTATGTACTTTATTCTCATTATGTGGTTGCACTCCATGTTGAGGTGAAATTTGGATCTTAGATAATTTAGCCTTGTTTGAGCTTCATTTTTTGAAAAAAAGAAAATGCATTGTTGGTATTATCTAGAAGTCCATAAGACTTTTTTACTTACTCTAGGGGAGTATATTATATTCATATTATAACTCCCATTAAAGCCTTATAATTTAGGGGTCATTGTTTACGGTAGTATTCTAATTTTGGTCGTTAAATTTTGGTTTCAATTAATTTGAATTGTTAAAATTTATTCATTGAATAATGAAAAGTACAGAGTTTTGTCACCTCTCCAACGATCTCTCCACTATGTAGGATTTTAGTGGGCCAAGTACTTATTTGTTGAGAAAGAGGGATTAAGTATAACAGAATTGACTGGGTGGTAGAGTCGTGTAAATACTTTTTTCTTCCATATTTTGGACCCCAAACACAACATCTTGAGTACCAATGATGGTGACCGCACCTGTTGGTATGTGACGTTTGGACATTTCCATTCATTGAATAGAGATGAACTCTAATGGTCATTAGACACATATGTGGATGTTACATTGATCATTCTCTATATGAATGTCCATTTGCATTATATTGATCCAAAATAATTTGGATTTATATAAATTTGAGAAAGTAAAGATAGGAAATACTTCTCATTTTACCTACGTTGGTATATGTAGTATGTTAAATATTTAGTTGAATTTACCATTTCTATGTGAACGAGAAATAAAATAAAAGAAATTAAGGTAATTATAATATCGGGTTATGCACATCTTATTAAAGGCTCTAGAGGAACACGAGTGTTTTGACTATTAACATAATGAATTTCTCAAGAGTTTTGTCCATCTCTACTATCTTCTATTCTTCTTATCTCTTTATTTTATAACAATTTTTTCTTATATTGATTGATTAGAAAATATTTTCATTTAATTGTAAAAAAGTAACACCTTTATACATAGCTTTGAAGGAATACTCACAAATATATAATATGATTTCATTGAAAGAAAAGAAACTTACAAGTCGATGAGATCCAATGTTAATAACTATGTAATGCTATATTAGCCTCGACGAATAACAAAATCACAGCGTATTTTTGTATAAAAAAATAATAGAAATACATTATGAAAATATTTGTGAGAAGCACACATGCGTTAAGTTTCAAACGCATTAAACATGTCAAAGGTTGCAAACCAAAGTAAGATGATAGGGGAAATCGTGAATTACTTTTCTTATGTTTTTCAGATGATTTAACAGTGTAAATTGTAAAGCTATCAATGAGAATATTTATATATTTCAATCATAGATTAGTTATAAATTGAATTAATTTATTAAAGAAGAAGGTTAAAAAAAAAAAAAAAAAACACATGTTGACCAAACCTGGCCAGAGCAGTCCGCAACATAGGAGGTTGGCAGGCCAATCCGTTTGGACCTGCATGCATGTGGATCGATTTGGACTAGTCACTTTGTTTTGGAAATAAAGAAGAGGTGAAGGAAAAACTAGAAAAATCGTACGAAGAAAAAATTGAGAAAGGATTGAGACTTGAACACGTGAGGAATACAAGAGAACGTGATTTTAAAGCGATATTTGTCCCTTTTTTCAGTCTTGAGGTTGCTTATATATGGGATGCACCAACAAATGGCTTTGGCGATTAGACAAGCATTTAAAGGTAAATTGATAAGTGTGGTTTTTACACTTATTTGAAATCCTAAATGATGATATTTTGTTATTTTTTGGACGGATTAGTACTAATTTGTAATTTATTGCTTTTATTAGGAAAAAAATTCATGTTTCGAAGAAGAATTGGAAAAAGAATGGAAATGGGCTAAAATAAAGCAAATCCAAAATTTGGGGACTAAAATGTAATAATTCAAAAGTTGAGTCGAATTGCAAGACGATGGTTTGAGAACACCAAAATCCAATTGGAATTGAAGAGAAGTCAAAGAGATGAGAAATTTTGAAAAATGATCAAAACACACTTGAGAAAGTTCAGGAACCAATTTGCAAATTGGCCCCCAAAAATTGAACCATGCATACGCATAGGCTACAGGCCTTGCGTACGCAAGGTTGAAATATTGCACTTCAAAGACCAATTCAAGTTGAAATTGGGCACTTTAGAGACCAATTCAAGGGAACTATGCGTACACATCAATTGAACATGCATACGCATGGTTCAACTCTGATACAAAAATTATGTTTCCTTATCTTGTTTTGGAAATTTTTTGTGTGTAATCTTTTGGCGCCCAATTTATACCAAGAGCCGGCCAAAACGTAAAAAAAACCTAATTCTTATCATATTAAAAGCCTTCTTTAGAGAGAAAAAAGAAAGATGATACATTGAAGAACATAGAATTCATCGGTTGGATTCAGATTTGGAGACATTAATTGAAAATTTTCAGACTTCCTTCAGAGTTCAATGATTCGGGTGATGGCTTTCTTTTAATTTTCTTGTATTTCTTACATTAACGTTAAGCTAAATTCCTTTTTATTGGATGGATGACAAAACTGATGGATAGGATAAGCGTCATGATTCAAACTGTAGTCCTAAATTCACATATTCTCAATACATTGGGACTATTTCTACAATTAGTGCAAATTCGTCTAGGAAATACCTAATCCAAGATTTGGATGATATGTGTCATTCATTGATGATATGGTTGTGTCCTTTTAAAAGCATTTGTACCTCATCCGCGAATAGTTAATATGATAATTTTGGTTAACTCATTATTGTCGTGCTTAGATTTGCATTAAAGACTTGGGGGACCATTTGTGCAATTATTGCAGTGGTGTCCCTCTTGCTGTTGGTTTCCCTGTCCATTGGTTCGAAATTTATTCAACTCCACAGCTTTTCAACTAGTTTAATAAGCCATGCATGCATGTTCATTTAATAAATATGAAATAACCGTAACAATTAATTTCAAGCAAAACATTTGCATTTTCTTACACTTATTTAACTCATCTTTTACACTTTCACTGTATTAAGCATATATTAGTGGTCCATTAGCGATCGGTGCTCAAAGATGTGATTGGGATCTTTGTCAAAAATATTGCTCGTTTCTAGGTAAGCCAGCATGCTGCCCAGGACCATCTGGCCCATGTCTTTGCATAGCAATTTGCCCACATAAAGTATTATGAGTGGTTATCCTCTTTGTGACCCTCGTCTTTGTGAAAAATATTGCTCGCTTCAGGGTAAGCCCAGAGCCAATCCTGAGATTTTGGATGCCCTGTGCGAAATTTTAAAATGGTGCCCCCTTCAAGTGATTAAAACATATAGCAAAAAAAATATTTCAATAATATTATTTCATTGCAAAAATATGATATTTAAATATTTGTTTTTTTTAACATACACAAACAACAAACATATATTTCTTTATATTTGTGTTCTCAGTGGTTAAAATAGAGAATAATTCTTGTTGTACATAAAAAATTGTACGTAATGGTGTCTTATGTACAATTTTTTATGTTCACATAGTACACTCCTTAGAGAATAATTCTTGTTGTAATTCTTGTTGTACATAAAAAATTGTACATAATGCTTTATTGGAATATATAGGAAGCTGTAATATAAGACTTTATTGGAAGGGAAATGCTTTTGTACACCCTGTTACGAATATTTTATTACATATGAACCCTCTTCCATGTGTGGGGGGTGTAAGCTTGTGTGTACACCATTATGTACATATAACACAAACCTTATTGGAAATATCTCTAAAATTGAAATAAAATTTTAAACAGTGATGGTCTAGCTTAAGAGGGATTAAATATCCCAATTGGCACTTTAACTTTATCAAATTGTTTTCCAATTGCAATTGAACTTTAAAAACTATTCGAGTTGCGACCCTTGACTTTCTCAAATATTTTCGAATTGCCACTAAACTTAACAAAATGTTATCCAATTTGCCACTTCGTCACTCATCGTTCTAAAAGTTAATTTACTAGATGACGTGCTAGATGGAATGATGGATGTAATAATTATTGGTAAGTTAATTTAGTCCATTGATTTTAAAATGGAAAATGATGGAGCAGGGATTAGTAAGTTCAATGGCAATTGAAAAACATATGGAAAAGTTTAATGACAATTGGGATGTTTAACCGAGTCTACGAGCCAATTTTTCTGTTAGTTAAATGGAAAATGGTAAACAAAGGTTTCGAAATTGAGTTCCAAAGAACATGTTATTACCAAGATTCTAAGAGGCATGGTAAGACGGTGAGGGTGGGCCTCAAGCCTTACGAGCATAGGCGCAATAAGACATATTTTTTATATATATTTTTAATTATTCTAATATTATTAATTATAATTTATTTTATTTAATTTTTTTTTTAACTTTAAAAAATAAAGGGGCGTGCCTATACTTGCATTAGTTGCATCTTTTGGCGTTGGCCCATATTAGTCGCTCCTTTTGCCGAATGCCTGCACTACCTTCTTCATGCATGGGTCTCGTCCTTTCCCACCTTTTAAAACACTGGTTATTACCTACTAGTGAATTTTTTGACAAAAATCCATTAAACAGAATTGTAGTGGAAGATTTGCTCCAGTTTGTGATTCTAGATATCATCTTATATTCCAACTGATAACAGGGTGAATCTTTGTAATCATATGACTGAGCTATTAATTTCTAATGCATACAAGTGATCATATGAAATTGTTTCCCGCAGATGCTAAGGGTTAAGTGGGCCTTGAGATTTTGGATACCCTATGTGAAATTTTAAAATGGTACTCCCTTCAAGTAACTAAAACATATATTAAAAAAAATATTTCAATAATATGATTTCATTGCAAAAATATGATATTTAAATTTTTGTTTTTACATACATGAACAAGAAAAACATAAATATAGCTCAAAAACATCTCTCGAACTTCGTCAATATTCATGTCATCAACAAAGAACCATCCAAGTCACTGACCTCTTCTTGCAATTCCATATAAGCAAACCTTGAAAAAATATGTATATCAAGTGTAAAGCTTTAAATGCAACAAATCATATAAAAATATTTCTTCTCACATTTTTACAACCAAACTCACTAATTAAACTTTCGTAATCAATATTTTCTAGAAAGTCATGCTCAATAGATATCAAAGCTAATCCATTCAATCGTTCTTGTACATGGTTAATTGTAAATAAGATTTTAACATCTTCAATTTTGAAAAACATCTTCCAGCAGATGCAACGGTAACAGGAATTGTCAATAATATTCTATAAGCAATGCATGTATTAGGAAAGCAATCCAATCTTTTCAAATAAGTCAATATATCAAAAACCGTCTTTATTTCTTTTGGTAAAAGAATTCACAAAACTTTTAACTCTTGAAATAAATATTTGCCATCAAGATCACAAAAATTTACATGTCTTAAAACAATATCAAAATGATCACAACATGCTTTCAAATTAACATCATCTAATGAGTTTAACTTGTCAAAAGAAAATAGAAATCCAAATTTTTTTCAAATGAATTGAATTGATCAAACCTTTGTTCAAGTAATCCAATTGCTTAATCTACTATATAAAAGAAATAATTAGTTTTGAAAGAATTTTCAGGTGATTGTGCATCGTCTACAGTAGCATTTTCAAAATGTTTCTTCCTAAGAATGATACGTTTCACTTGAAATAAAGGATCAATTTTCATTTCAATGGCAATTTCTTTAGCAATATTTATCGCATCATTGAATCCAGTTTCTCTATATTTAAAAAAAAAAAAATGGCAATCAGCCCTTTAACTTCCTCGATAGCAACGTCAATAAGCATATCATTAGATTGCAAGTGTTTACTAATCAAGTTAACAGCATACAATATCTCACACCATATGATCATAGCTACTAAAAACTCAAAATTTCCGACATAAAGGGCTGCCAAAGCTTTAGCCCAACACCTTCCATCATTGTCGTTTTCAATTTCAACGACTTCAAATAAAGCTTCTCTTAATTTAGGAGCTTGGAATCTAATTGCTTTAATAGCTTCAACATGACTTTCCCATCATGTAGCTGATAGTGGCTTGACATTAATTTTAACATTGTCTTTCAATATTTTCTATCTCTTTGTAGAATTAGAAAACAGATTATAAATACCTTGTATAGCGCACTAAAAGTATTTTGCTTTAACACAAGAGTTTGTCATATCACACAATGCTAAATTCAGACTATGACATCGACATGGTGTATAAAATGCTCTAGGATTTATGTCTAGTAGTATTTTTTTTGCACACCTTGGTGCGTACCTTTCATGTTAGATCCATTATCATATCATTATCCTCTTACATCATTAATGTCAAGATTAAAAGTTATTAGAGTATTTTGTAATTCTACAAAAAGTCCTTGACCTATTGTATTGTCCACTTTTAAAAATTCAACAAAATATTCATGTATTTTGATTGGATTACCAGACAAGTCTGCACATCTTAAGATCAAGAACATTTGTTCTTGGTGACTTTCATCCGGAGTACAATCAAATGTCACAGAAAAGTATTTTGCTTCTTTGATTTTCTTAATAATTGTTCTTTTGATTTTAAAAGCCAAAGAAGCTACCAACTCATTTTGAACTTTATGTGAAAGATAATGATATTGAATTTCATTACTTTCAATACGCTGCATATGTTCCTTCATGATAGGATCCCACTTTACAATCATTTCAATTAGTCCTAAGAAATTTCCGTTACTATCCTCAAGAGGTCTTTCATTAGTTCCATGAAAAGCCAAACAATTTTTAGCTAGGTATTGCACAACATAAATTATTCTTTGCAGTACTTCCTTCTAATGTTGTTTCTCTTATCTAATTTGTTTTTGAATTTCTAAATCAATTGTTTCATCTTTGTTCAGTTTTACACGTAAATCAATCCAAGTAGCCATGTTGTTGATATGCACACTACTCATTTCATGTTCTTTAAGCCTGACACCGAGATGTACCCAGTCATTAAATCCTTCATTTATCAACCGACTTTTTTGTAAACCTCTTTTAAATAACTTACAACAAAAACAAAAAATTCTATCAAGATCATTTGAATACACCAACCATGGCCTATCACGTTTCTGACCATTTGATAAATACAGAGTGTAATGGCTTGCGAAGAAACATCTAGATAAATTATCTTTTGGATCCCTTTCCAGTGACAGGTCTCTTGTAGGACCATTTACCACTAGCAAATCTCTATCTTTTATATCAAGATTATCCCAAGTTCTTGGATCACAGATGTTGAAGGGAATGGACCTATTATGAACTAAACCATCTACATCTTCATTAGTATCATTTTCTTTAACAGATTTATCATCAACATCTTCACTAGTATCGTTTTCCTTAGGAAATTCATCATCACTAGTATCGTTTTCCTTAGGAAATTCATCATCAACGTTATCATTTTTGTCATTATCAACATTGTCAGGCATATCATTTTCATTTTGTCTCAATTCCTCAATATTTTCATTTTTATCATCAACATTGTCAAGCATATCATGTTCATTTTGTCTCAATTCCTCAACATCTTCATTTTTACCAGCTTCAAGTATGTGGTCCACATTTTTAGTTTCTTCAATAATAAATATGTCAATAGCACCTTTTTGAGACTCTATCAACTCTTCAATTTTTCTCTTTTTGGCTCATTTTCCAAATCATGATTGTTGTTTTCTAGGATACATTTTAAACTTCGATTTGACAAAAACAATAAAAACCATAAAAGCATATAATGTTTAAAGGACATAAAAATAAAAATAAAAAATTAGAAGATAGCACCTGATTAAATATTAAATCAGCAAAATCTTTATAACCAATTAAAGAAATCTTGATTCTTCAAAAACCTGTGTATCACCAATCAAATGAAAAGAGAGTCAAAGGAATTTATATTTTCTTGAATATTCAGAGAAATTATTAAAAAAATAAATATGTTGAGGAAAAAAAACTCACTTGTAAGTGTTCAACTTCTCCCGAGTCCTGAGAAAAATTATGTAGTGCTTTCTCGATTGTCAATCGTCGCAGGAAAGTATAGAATTTTTTGGAGTCAAATCAAAGATGAAAAAGACGATTTCTGAAGAGTACACATAATTTGAAATTTTAATACATAACCTAGAACGCCTGCAATTTTCAATTTCTGAAGAGACGTTTCCTTGGAGTTTATTGCTCTTCTCCAAAAGGAAGATTGGAAAATGAAACTTTTTCTTTATTCTCTCACTTCTCGCCGACCAGATCTCCCTTTTGGGCCTTTTCCCTTTTCCAGCATTAATGACATTGTTTAAAGTAGAAAACTATATTAAGAATATTATATTCAAAAAATTATAATTAGTTAGCCTTGTCTGTTGCTTTTTGGAATCCATGGAATATTGATTTAATTATGTTGTATAAAAATAAATAAATTAAAACCGCATATCTCAATTCGTAGCCAACCTACCCAGCTTTCTTTTTACTCAGTCCATTATACATACTTTGTCACATTATTCTTAATTTTTATATCTTATGCACAATAATAAAAAATTTATATTTTAAAATTAATATACATTTTAAATATTTAATTATAAATAAATATACAACTAAAAAAAAAAAATTTCAGTACCCTTACAATTTTGAATCCCTGTGCAACCGCTCAACTCGGGCACCCTCAAGGCCGCCTCTGGCCTACTCAAATCTCTCTCCGTTTCTTTCCTCTGCTACAGGCTATCTAGGTTATGGACAAGAATTGAGTCTATACGGATTACTGAAAATCACGGCCCCTGACGCAGATTCTTGAGCATTCTCGTTCGAGAGACAACTGCAGTAACTTGTCTGAGCCCTTGACTGATCAAGAAGCTGGGAAAAGCCACCCATTTCTTTATGGGGAGGTTAATGTAATACTGAATGGCCTGATTAAGAAGGCAAATCTAGAAGAATTGCAAGCATTGTACAGTAGTTTAAAAACAACAGTCCAACAAACAATCAAAGCTTAGCGACCAAGCTTGTTAATGAAGAGATTCACAAGTATTGACTACTACATATTTAGGAAGATTTCTTTCCTTATCAGTTGCATTGTTTTATTACATAATATTTTCTTTCCTACATTTGATACACACACGTTTTCTTTCCTTATGAGAAGAGTTGTAACATATTCATTCAATTAATGAGAAGGAATTCTTCATTCATAAATTATATTCTTCCAAATTCTAACAACAAGCAACAAGATGATTAATTTCCCAGCCTTACGACTGGAGTTGCAGTCGATTTTTTACTCTGTAAATGCCCTAATCCCAGTTTTAGGTTGCAGTAATCTTGGTCCCTCGATTTTTCTATAAGCTATTAGCTAAGTTTGATTTTATCAGGATCTATTCATGTTGCTGTCCTTAAATTCACTTGTCAGTTTAAAGAAAAGAAAAGAAAAAAAAAACAATAATTCTTTCCTTCTTTTTTATTCACTGTGTAAGTTCACTTGACTATAAGAGCAAGCTTTGCGCCTTTTCTTTTTGAACAGGAAACTGCCTGGACAGGCAACAAATTACAAATACATAAGTTGGACAAAAGATTGTAACACATTAACATAATATTAGGACAAAAATCATTAACATAGACAATGTGTTAATTAATTGAATCTTATCTTAAAGATAAAATGTGACTCTAAAAATTGAAATATAAGTGCATGAACAAGTAAATTTTAAGAACCTTTATTAACAATTAAAATATAATAATTTGAATGAATATAATCAGTGATGGAGCCAATTGGGCCCAGTGATGTCCTACACCCTCTAAAATTTAGGAAAAATAATCTATATCTATGATTATATTAAAGTATCACCTAAAGGCGAATCATTTTTTGAAAAATTTTAAACCTCGTACAATTCAATTATTTAAATAATATCTTACTTTTCGTTTTACGATATGTAATAAATACTACATAATTATTGTGGTTTATGAAATTTGTGTTATTAATTCTCAATTAATTAACCTTCACATTAATCTAGATTCAATCAATTTTCACTTGATGAATCTTGAATTTTATGAATCTAGAATTATTACAGGGCCAGCCCTAACATTTTGGGAGCCTTATGCTAACTTAAGAAATGGGGCCTATTGAAGAAAAATCATCGTATGCTTACTTGAGCATTCTCATAGAGAGTTTTCATATAATTATAAAGAATCTAATACAGACAACTAAATCTCAAAATTTAAAGAGGAAAATAAGAAAATATCAAATTTCAGCGTACAATACAAATGATAAGTCAAGTTTGGCATACAGAATTATAATGCATTGGCAAATGGGTTTATTCGTTTCATTGATCATTCTCTCATAGCAACTATTTAAAACAAAGTTGAATATACATTTGAGTGATTTATGTACAAAATTAAATCATGTTGATTGCGAGAGAAAATATAACAAAATAATGAAAATGTCGATCAAATACAAATGAACAACTAATTTTATATTAATTCATAGCAACTTACAAATAAGAAATATATACACCGACAAGAAAATATTAAATTCAAAGTACATTCAACAAGTATCTAAAAAGACTATTATCACGAGATTAGAGTAAAAAAAATAATAATAACAGCCTATGTACTCTATAGTGTAAGTTTTGAAGATAAGGAAGAAAGAAAGAAATCAGTAAGGTTGTAATAATGACAGTGAAACCACACCAATCTGCTAGATTGAATCTTCAAAATAAGTGAGATAATTCGTTTCTTGTTGGGTTGAAAAAATTATGGTGGGTTATAATTCAAAGTGGAATTTAAAGAGACAAAAAGACGTTTTTTGTTTGGTTAAGGAAAGAAAATGAATGTTTGGAAGATAAATAGTTAAAGTAATGTTGGTGATATATTTATATGATAAATAAATTTAAGTAATAGATTTTAGAGTAATGATATATGAATTCATTGGGGTTGTATCTCCCGTCTAGGTGACGATAGATGATAAGCTATATGAAATGTGGAATTAAATGAGTCATTCAGTTCCACTTATCATTTAATGTCACGTTAGCATCATCTAGACTGTGGTTGCAACTCCAGTGAGGCTAAATATCATCACTCTAATTTTTATGTTATTTATATGTTTTTTCTAAAAAATTTTGTATTTTCAACTTTTATTAGTTTCTTGTGTTTTGCATATTGATAATTCTATTTTAAAGAATTTCATAAATATAATTTTCGTTTTTCATCAACCAACCAATTAACCTTACATAATTTGGAGCCCTCACCAAAATAAGGTCTTAGGCGATCACTTACCTCTCCTATAGTCAGGGCTACCACTGAATTATTATGAGTAAATTATCTAAATGGTCATTGAATTTTGCAAAAAATTTTCACAGGACCATTGAACTTTAAAAATCACACAATTCATCACTAAACTTTACAAAAGATTTCTACGAGGTTACTGAACTATAAAAATCTTCCATTCATCACTGAACTTTGTAAAAAGTTTACACAGGATCGCTGAATTTTGCAAAAGGTTTCCTATGGGTCACTAAATTCAGTGATGAAGTTGATGATTTTTAAAGTTCAGTGATCACGTGGAAACCTTTTACAAAGTTCGGTGACCATTTGGGTAGTTCACTCAGAGTTATTATAGATTAATTTATATTCATGTATTTTGAAATTTTAATGGATGTTTAAATTTATGTATTAACAATTAATTTTTATGTATCAAATATAAATATAAAAAGATTGTTCATTTATAACATTTCATCATTACAAAAAATTTGAATTATAACAATTTTTTTCTCTTAATTTTTTATTGCTAAATCTTATTTTCTATAATTCGTCCGAAGCTCATTAAATCCTCCAACAAATTGGTTTCAAATATTACTTTTACATCATTTATAAAGTATTTTAAAATAACGTGCAACGCATGTTCAAATTTAACTAGTGTTTAAAAAATCAGTATTTAAATTAAGCCCCCACTAAAAAAAAATAGCCAGACTATAGAGGCCAGTTACGCACAATATTTTTATGTTTTTTTTTTTTTTAATAATTGTTTATTTAAATTTAATTTTAGAATATAAATGCCACAAAGCAGCCGTATAGGTCGTAGGACCCCATTGGAAACAAAATTTTGGCTTCAACATCCATCAACGGACATCAATATAAACAGACAACAATGCCATTGGACTCAAAGTCTGTCTATTTGCTCGCTGTGTAAATTGCAATCATCGAATGCATTGAAGAGGATTTTATTCAACCAAGCCGATCAAGAATTGGGAAAAATAGCACGTCTATTGTACTGTTTAACAAACATGTCCTAGCAATTTTAAAATTCCGTTGATATAGATTAGAGTTCTTGGTGCTACTGTAAGCAAAGACAAAATCTTACGGGTTGTGAACCAGCTGATGCTGCAGGAATTGAGAATTTGTAAGCAAATATGATCGGTATGCAGTGACACAAGACTCGCAATATTAAATGAGGAAAAAAGGGCTTAAAAATTTTGTTCTGTCATGTCCACTACTATGTAGCAAACACAATTTTTATGTATTAAAAAATACCGGCCAACATGATGCATAAATATGAATTACAAGCATGGAAGGCAAGGAGTCTGCAGAAAATTTACAGTAATATATCAATAATTACATTGGTCAGCTGCCAATAGAGAAACTCATAAAAACTGTACACTACGTTAACTCCCAGAGGGTCTAAAATTCAATATGAACTTTTCCTCGAATAGATAAATTAGCACGCAACTGGAAAGTACCTTCTCTACTCAGGAATAGGCTCATAATCACAATTTTCTGGAGAATCGAGTGAACTGTGACCTGTTTTACCTCTCCAATCCATGGAATCTGTAGGGGTGAACTGCATGTTCCTATGCTGAATCATAAATTGATTTCCACCAACATTCTGAATAGCAGAATCGGATGGTGGTCGGAAGCTTACTCCTGAAACTGAAGCCCCACAAACTGGTGGTATAATAATAATAATAATAATAATAATAATAATAATAATAAAAGATTAAAAAAAAATTGATGGAATTTTTTTTCTATGTATCAGCCCATTATAAAAATTTCGTTTTGTCCCCTTGCTCCGCTCCTAATTGAAATTATTATTGATAACTTACGATCAAGTTATTATGCAGCAGGTAAAGTAAATGGCAATATGGCATAGTAAATCATGACATTTGTCATTATTTAACAAATTTTACAACAATGCAGCACAACCTTGAGGATAATCTGAAAATGTATAACATGTATATATTTACATTGTCTATTGTATTTGGGATAATTCGAAAACACATAATGCAAGGAATGTTTCCTAGGCACTCTCAACTCTAAAACTGAGTTCCGATTTATAAATCTTGTTAGTGGCATGATAGAGATATAAAACAATCAGACCCTCTTAGCTATGCTTTTACCAATTGTAGTAAGAAATTAAACTTACCAGTTACCAGATGGAAGTTCAAAATATGACCAAGAATAGGTTGCAGATATTATCCTATGCAGTACATTATGTCACCAGTAGTATATAGTTAATATAAGCTCTACTGCCAGGTTCAAAACTTTCTTTGTATACCCAATCTTTGTTCCATATATATTGGTCTAATTTTTATAGAATAAGCAAAATTAGCGGTAAAATAACCGATTTTTATTTTTAAATTTGACAAAGAAATCACTTTAGGAGTTTTCATTATGATAACTTGGATAAAGTATGGTTTTTACCCTAGTGTGTATATGTGTTGCAATCTGAGAGAACGTAAAATTGAAAGCAGCAAATATTCGTTGATTAACAATTATAACTCAAAAGAAGCAATTACATACAAAATTTATCTTATGCTTAACAAGATTTGATGTCTTGACGAGTGACATCTCACTACATCTCTTTCCCCACATCTCTTAACCATTTTTCATATATAGTGACAATTATGGCAGACGTTGTTCGGATTCGGGTATAGGTACCGGTTATGAGTACGTATCTAAATGTCAAATCTTTTATTTTCTAAAATATATAATACGGGGATATGGTTAAAAAGAGTCCAAATTTCAGAAACGAGTACATCTTTCAAACTACTAACCCAAGATGTCATTTTAAATAGACCAAAATCAATTGTTCATAGAGAAGAAAATAAGTATTGAATAAGGGGCTGAGACGAATAAAATAAAATTTTAAGATTTAGTTTTTAATTATGGAAAATTAATTACTAAATGTTATATAAAATAGAAATTGAGAAAGTTGATTGCAGCTTAGACTTACTGAAAGACTAAGTAGCATTATATGAAACCTATTTTCATTTTACACAAAAACCTTAAACCA